CGATAATGATGATGATGATGATAAAAGGAAGAAATATCCTAACGTATAAAGAACCTAAAGAATGGGGAAAAAACCGCGTAAAAAAAGGGGGGGAAATCTGTCTTTTTTCTTTCAACAGTTATGTTCAAGTTTCCATTAGTTAGAGACTTTGCCATGGCTGGGGGCGTGTGTGATGTTTCCAAGGACTCAATCAATCACGTTCTACAAGGCCCTGGTGGCAATGCTGCCATCATCGTAATAGGGGGGGCAGCAGAATCCCTTGAGGCCCGCCCTGGAGCACATAACCTCACTCTTAAGAACAGAAAAGGATTTGTTAAGATGGCTTTGAAACACGGGTGAGAAAAACAACTCATGAACACTCAAATGTCCGTGAAATAGCATTAAAACTAAATAGCACTAAACATTTCTTTTGTTTTAACTTGTTTCATTGGAGATCCTTTTTAGTGGTTATTGTTAAGTACTATTTCACTTATATATGGTTTACACTCTTATGTACCTACTTAAAATTAGGACAGTCGTTAATTACGCTTATTTTGATTTCATTTCGAAATTTTCAGAGCATCTCTTGTTCCTGTTTATTCTTTTGGTGAGAATGAGCTGTACTGCCAGGCCAATAATGACCATGGCACTTGGATTAGATTTGTGCAGTCAAGATTCCAGAGAGTAATGACCTTTGCGCCGCCTCTGTTCTTTGGTAGGGGACTGGTCAGCAATTCTATTGGATTTGCACCTCACAAGACCCCTGTTAACACTGTTGGTAAGTTATCCTCCATCCTCCATCCTCCATCCTCCATCCTCCATCCTCCATCCTCCATCTAACTGTATTACGTATCTTCTTCATCCTATCAGTCGGTGCTCCAGTTATCGTAACGAAAGCTGTGCCCAACCCAACGCAGTTTCAGATTGACAACCTCCACAAGAAGTACGTCCAGGGACTATTGAAAGTGTTTCATCAGTACAAAACCAAATATGGTGTACCACACAACACACCACTCGTCATCCAGTAAATCATTTACCCAAGGTAATCTAGTCAGAATGCCGATAATATATGGGTGGTATTGGGTGGGTGGCCTTCGCTGCTAATGCTTCTTCATTTACTAAATCATTATTAAATCAGGACGACGTACGCTGCTAATAGGGACCCGCTTTAATTAGCACGACATTCTTGCTAGGTACCGCAAACCTCAAACGGCGTTTTTCGTCAAACGTCCGACATTTAACACTATGGCGTCATAACGAAGTTGTTACTAGAAAAGCCGCCATATTTAATTACATTGGTGGCGAGTATTTCTCCGTGTTTGCAGTCGTGTTTGGGTTCGTGGTAAGCCTTGATGCTAAAGATCTCTAATGCGTCGTCTTTCACCGTTGTGCTTCCAACGGGACGGGTCACTTGTTCGACTCCTGCAGAAGCCACACGTGAGTTGACTTTGTTTGATGTGTTGTTCTCCTTGCTACGAGGTTTTTTCTCAAGGCTGTCTTGTTTTCCTCCATCCGTAAAAATCAACATGTGAGTCGAGCGTTGTGTGCATAACATAGTAAATGTAATGGTAGTGAGTGTGAGTGAAAGCAGGCCCACATCAGCTAAAAAGCTGCCAAAATAATCAGCCTGCTCTTACAAATAAAAGATTTTTATTACTAATATTAACAATAATATTTATTTATATAATATAATCTTCAGTAATTCAGTTAATATTTTCAACTAAAAAGATTGAAAGACAATTGTAAAAGCCTAAGCCCCTAAAAAGATGTTGTTAAAAGTGGAAATGGGATTTAAAAACCTAAATTTTTAACCTCCAAATTTTTTAACTCCATCCGTCTACTTCCGCCATCAATTACGCAAGACAAGGGAATAAGTATGTGATACTCTACTGTTGTTCTGTATGTTGAGATCAAGGTGACGATGACGTTCACCGGAGAAGTTTCCGAGAGTCGACACGAAATCAATCCTTGACGAAACCGAAAGTCGCTTCCTTGTTGAAAAGCAGCCAAAATATCATCTGTAAATTCAGTTTATCCCTCGTAAATATGTCCTTAAAGTGAAATTTGGTTCCTATTCGTTTGGATTTGGGTGAGAGTTGCCACTTCCTAGACCTCAAGAGAGAGAAATCCCCGTGAAAATTTGGACGATATGAGTTTTTTTTAAGGTAAACCTGACCAATTATCGCCTTGAACAAATATAAATATTGGCGCACGTTCAATGACGCGCTTACATCGACTATTTACTTAGGTATCCCTTTGATTTGATTGTTACGGACGCTCAAATGTATGTCTTCCTTCAGTGTTAATTGGTTCAGTTTAAAAACAACTTGAAAACTTAGAATACTTACAATACAGAAGCGAAATGAGATAAGCAAACCATCTGTTCATACATGCAGCACTACCTACTTCTAAATATTCCCCTAAGACAGACCATCAAGGCGAACGGTTTCCTTGGTAGTGACTTAAACTTTGAAAGATTAAACCCAGAAAGAGAACGATTTCTAATGCGTGTGAGAAGCCGAGGTAGCTAATGGTATGTAAACTAATTGACAAAGTTCGTAAGAATTGAAATAGGAGACAAATTTAAAGCGTTACAACCGCCTTATTAGACAATATAACTGATTTGATAAACTGCTCCAAGATTTGCTATGGTTTTGTCCGTTTTTTATTCAAGGACTTTTTTCTTACAGTTTCGGGTATCATTGCAGTGTTTTACCGTGCATTCAAAATAACCTTAATCTTGCTTATATTTTTGCCTTTTTGACACGTTTTCATTTGCTTTTCAAAGCCTTTTTGCCATTATGTGCTTAAAGAGAAACAACAGCAAAAGAACACTTACACAGCTATCCAACTTTACACATTTCGAAATTCACTTTGAATTGAAAAAATTACTAGAAAACTGAAGTTTAAACAACCTACTCATCACTTTGCAAGATTTCTTTTACTGAGGTGCTTTTATCAAAACCTTATTTAGGTCATCCTATGTATCTAAAACACTCTGAGTTCAGTATTTTTCATTACCAAGAAGTTAAATTCACGATATAATGAGTATTATTAACTTTTAGCGCAAAAGAAGATTTTTTTCGACTTGAAAAAAAATACCAAGAAATGTTTAAAGCGATTTTTGATGCCGTGTGGAATACGCCCTGACGCTTTAAAGATTGGTAAAATATATTACTTCGCATCGGAATATCTAGGAAAAACTTTAACCAGTAATTATATTACACCGTTAAAGATTATTGCAGTAAAGTTTTAGCGGAATTTTGGACTATTCCGTGCTAATCCGCCGGATTTTTATTTTAAATCGCGCCCTCTTTTGTTTTTGTTTTTCCCCGCGAAGACTTTCTTGTCAGTAATCGGGATACTCTGCCGTTGTGATACGACAAGTACGGCTCAATAGACGATGACAAGGCATAACACATTGAGGAAATGATTTGTTAACCAGTTTTAGCTCTGTCAGTGCTTATTGTCTTTAGTTTGTTTATGACAAAACCAATGAAAAACCCAATCCATAGACCCTTTTAAAAATTATTTTGGAAGCATTTGGCTAAAAGAACAAAAGAAAACACCACATTTGTAAGTATTTCTTTTGTATTTTCTTGTATATGCCTCACTTTCAAGATTTTTTTGGGCAATTGCAATATATGATTTTTGAAGATTTACCCACATTTTTCGTTTAGAAATAATGGAAATGTTAATTTTGGCGGCGAAGAAAAGCTAATTAATTAACGGAAGTAGAGTGATAACTGAAATGTTTTGTATTGGCTTCTGTCATTAATTATCCGTTCAACCCAATAAATGAAGATTAGTTTTGTGATACCAAAGTAACAAGCACTTCCTTTTTTTGAACTTTGATTATAGAATAGACCAGTTTTGTGTTCCTCGATTACAGACTCATTTACACAGGGTCGGCCTCGTATCAGTGCCTAAATATTTACAAATACTAACGGTAAAGTAAAGAATGCACAGTTTTAAATACAAACACTTTGAAATTCCACCGACCTTCACTGGAATACATGAATACTCTGAACAAAATCGAGGCTAACCCTGAGCAACAGAGAACTCGAAACTGGAGTATTGAGCAAAGAGTACGACTGCAAAGTCAAGTATGAATTGAATTGATTGAGAGAAAGAGAGAGAATACCGACCGACAGCCAAATCACTAGAACTAAGGAAGAATTAAAGCAAAATAGAAAAAAAGAGATAGAGTTGACTCGTGACTTGTGACTCGTGACTTGTGACTTGTGACTCGTGACTTGTGACTCGTGATTTGTGACTTGTGACTT